GGGGGGGGGGGGGGGGGGGGGGGGGGGGGGGGGGGGGGGGACCCGATGGGCTAGGTCATGTTGCTATCAACGTACTTTGTCTGCCAACGTCTTCGGTGGACAAGCGGTAGTTCGGGGCATCTAGAGCAAGGGATTGCCCGTGCGTTCCAGCGGAAGGCCTTCTTGAGTGGGGAGCGCCGACGAATCGGGCCGGTGACATGCCCGACGGGGCGGGCTTATCTCGTAACCTTCTGCTTGTTTCTTGTCTTCTACAGGCGATGTGTTGCGCAAGTCACCTAATGTGGTGCACATCACGAGGAATAACATGTCAACAGCAGTCTTGCCTCACAGTCGAAAGCAACGAGTCAACCCTTAGCGGGACACGAACCAGAAGGGCAAGCGCCAGGGAAAGAAAGAGCAAGGCGGCCGAACAAAAAAAAAAGGTACCTCGTCTTGCAGACCGTGCGACCTCGCGAGCTCCTCCACGTCGGCCATCCGTTGCGGCAACATGCCGAGCGCTCGAGCGATCTCTCCACCGTCACCATCGCTGCCGCAAGTCGTGTCTCGAGCCACGAAGCACGGGTCGACGCCGCTCGCCTCAAGCATGCGGCCGCTGCTGCCGTCCATGCCGACCGCCGCAGTTTTGGCAGAGCAAGTTTTCTTCGAGACGACGACGGAACAGGGCAACCCGACGGGGGGGAGGGGGGGGGAGGGGGGGCAGGAGTAAGAGAAAGCAAGGGGGAGGGCGAGGGGAAGGGGAACAGCGAGAGAGGGGGAAACGGTCTACCGAATGTCGTGTCAGGAACATAACCGAAGAGAACGCAAGTCGACGCGGCAGTCAGGCTCTACGCCAATTCGCTACTTGCTGTGGCAACACGCCGGCTGTCCAAAAAAAAGCATCCTGCACGTGCCCCTAGCAACCATGCGGTCGGAGCAAGCGGGCTCCTCGAGCAATCACGGCCTCCAGCGACCCAAAACATCCAGAACTAGCACATGACAGAAGAGCGACCTCATCAACGAACCACGGACCCCGTACAGCTTGTCCGTCTGCACCTCGCGCGGTCGGCCGCTCTCACCGCAAACAAGGTATCAAAACTGAGCGCTGCTCGCCGGGGGTTGGCCGCCGCCCCCACCCCGTCCACCAGCGCGGGCAGCGGACGGGGCCCCGGACTGCCGCGGCCTCCTCTTCCGCCGCCGCCGCCGCCGCCGCCGTCGCCGCGCCCGACGGATTCCCTCCTCCGCTCCTCGCGCTCCCAAACCCCGCTCCGCTCGCCCTCCGCTTGGCCGGCGGCCGCACTGCCCGGGCGTCCGCCGTTTTTCGCGGCCACGCCGCCGCCCGCCCTGATCACCGGCCGCCCGCCTCGAGCTAGCTGCCGCGCCAGGGTCCTGTCGTACAGCTCCCTCTGCAACGCCCGGCCGTTTATCGGAAACATCCTCGGTTGCCGTGCACACGCTCCACCCGTCGACGATGGCCCAAACAGCCCGTCGTTACCAGCGCCTTGTCGCCTGCCGCGGCTCTTGCCCCGGTCTCCACCTCCACGCCCACCCCCCCCGCCGCCGCCGCGTTTCTCGCCGCCCCGTCGGCGGTGATGCCGGGGGTTGACAGAAGAACATGAAGCCCCACGGCGGCGAGCACCAGCGCCGCCGCCGCCGCCACCGCTCCTGCCGGAGCGTTGACCCGTGGAGCCGGTCTGAGCGCCGCGGCTGCCGCCAGGCGGTGCAGGCGGGCGGGACGGCCTCAGCGGCGACGGCGGCGAAGCTGATTCGGCCGTCGATGACGACGACGAAGAGGGGGAGGACCCAAAATCAGACGAGTCTGCCGAGCTCCGGCCCCCGTCACCCCCACTGTCGTCGGCCGAGTCGACGGCAACCGCCGGCATGTCGTAGTCAAGCCCGGCCACTTGACGCTCTTCTTGTTCTTCTTGTTCTTCTTCTTCCTCCATCGCCTCCACCTGCCTACCTTCTCTTCTTCCCCACCCAGACCCTCCACCACGGTCATTCTCCCCACCGGTGCTGGTCCCGTCGTCGCCTCCTTCTTCGATAGCCCCGGCACGAGGACGAGCGGCGGCGCGCTTCCTCCTCTCCTTCCCGCCGCCGGAAGATGCCCGCCGTCGGGGACGCTTCTTGCCTCGACGCCCCCCCCCCCCCCCCCCCCCCCCCCCCCCCCCCCCC